AGTTTTACCATTTAGTGCAATAGTAGCTACAGAACATGTACTGTGCTGTGTAAACTGTACTGTATCACATAGCGTTTCAGACACAAACTTTTCAACTTTCAAACTTAAACGGTGCGCTCCCAGCGCACGTACCGGCAGTGATCTACAGCAGTGGTTTTCAACCAGTGGTACGGGGACAAACTGTCTCGCTCTCGTAATGTCTGTCTGTCTTGCTCTCGTTCTGTCTCTCGTACCACTCTCGGTTCCACTTTTACTTTTGCGCCTTTTCCGGCCTCCAGCTTTTCCTGCTGGAGCCCGCCGCTTAAAGGTGGGGGGCGCGGACCGGCCATAGAGCCCATAGAGTTAAAGGTGGTGGACTGTAACCTGTAAAATCCATAGATTTACGAGGTCCCCTAGTGGCCGTTAGCTGTAAAAATCCATAGATTAGCCGCACCGTTATATAAACCGCAGGGTCGAAAAATGGGGAAAAAGGCGCGGATTATAGTCCGAAATTACGGTAGTTATTTGTTCCAAACCGGGAAGTCCTACTTTGGAAGTGCATTTGTTTTCCAGACAGTCACCTCAACAAGATAAACTACATTATCCTGCTACTCGTCTGTTTTTTGTTTCTCCTCACGTCACACAGAGGTGAGTTACCTGCTCTGAGAAGCGATGGTTCACCTGATCGCTGAACTCCTGCATCTCTCCCTCCTCACCGTTGGAGTGGCAGCTGGGACTTGGCACCTCAATGCCATGGCTTTCCAAAATGGCAGCTTCTGATAGTTTGAGAGGGGAAAGCAGAGGAAGAGATGGATTCCACCCCAAACTTTTTGTTTTAGATTCATGTAAGGTGAAAATAAACAAGTGTATCAGATCCTTACCGATGTTCGCTCTTCTCTTCATCTCCTTCCGACGGTTTGCAAACCAGTTGTACACTTTCAGCGCAGTCACTCGCTCAAACTCAGAGATCTTGCAGCCTGGGGGGTGCATGCAGAACAACATTTCAGACGTAGCCATGAAGCAGCTGTCAGAGGAACAGTATTTGAGTTGTCAGTACCTGGTTTCTGGATGACAGAGTTGCAGGCGTTGGCTATCTCTTCTCTCTTCGACTCATCCGGGTACTGGTTCTCCATGAAGAAACTGGAGGAGATCCACAGTAATGGAAACAGTGATATGAGATCTCATCACAGCATCTATTTTAAGATAAGGTGCGCACTTAACTTACACCTCACCTTTAGTATTGATTTTATTAAGGAGAATATGTATACAGTGAAAGCTTCAGGAGAAGGGGAATGATAAATGGAAGCATTAAGTGGATGAGTTTTCAGTTTACATGCTTATATCTCTTCTTAGACCTCGACATTGATTCTCTGGTAAATAACTGAAATGTATATATCCAGGTACAGATTTTTTTTTCTGTCCAATATTTCCTCCTGCACGTCATAAAAATGATCTCACATTACAAAACATGCATGGATCAATTCCTCCCAGCTTCCTCTCCCCCTCTGTGATGCCCTATCCTGTCCACTCTCACACACACACACACACACACACACACACACACACACACACACACACACACACACACACACACACACACACACACACACACACAATCTTCACCTCTACTGTATCGTCCTTGTGTCTGAACTAGCTCATGAGGATCAGCACT